TTTCCACCTAAATCTCTGCTAAGACATATAATTGGAGGCTCAGTAGCAATAAAACTTACTGTCCTTGCCCCCGCTTAAAAATACCATCTAACTCCTTCCCATCTAGGTTGGGTTGACCCTGGCTGGATGTCAGCTGCTTAAAAAAGCCATTCTGTCACTCCCCTCCTCTGCTGGCCTGGAGAGAAAAAATGTAATGAAGACTTCTGGGTTGAGATAAGGACAAGCAGAGATTGTTCACCTATTAATTACTGTCATGGACAAAACAGACTCAGCTTGGGGCAAATAAATTTCTTACCAATCAGGACTAGGGAAATGAGAAATTAAAAACAAATCTTTAAAAACCCCACCTTCCCTCACCCCTTCCTCACAGTGTTACCTTCCTCAGGGAGCAATCCTTCAAGCACAGCCTGCTCTAGTGTGGTACCTTCATGGGGTCACAGATCCTGCCAGGAAACCTGCTCTAGTGTGAGCTCCTCTCTCCATGGGGCCAGAGGTCCTCCCAGGACCCTACTCCAGTGTGGACTTCCCATGGGGTTGCAGCCACCTTCAGGCACCCACTTGTTCCACTGTGGGCTCCTCAATGGGCTGTGGGTGGATCTCTGCTCCACCATGGATCCCCATGGGATGCAGGGGCACAGCTGCTTCAGCCTGGTCTGCAACACGGCCTGCAGAGGAATAGGAGCTCCAGCATGTGCAGCACATCCTGCCCTCCTCCACTGATGTGGAAGAGGTAACTTTGTACTGAGGTGTGTCTCACAGCCTTAATCCCCCCTTCTCTGGCTTTAGCTGCTGTTGCTCAGTATGGCTTTTTTCCTTTATTAAATACGTTATCCCAGAGGTGCTATCATCATCAGCCTTGTCCAGCAGGAAGTCCATCTTGGAGCGGGCTGGCACAGGCTCTGTCAGATATGTTGGGAAGTTCCTGGTGCCTTCTCACAGAATCTACCCCCACCCTCCTCCTGCTACCAAAAAATTGCCATAGACCTTCCTACTTGAGAAAATGCCTCATCCAAAGGTTTGTGGTTTTTGCTTTCTCTGTCTTCTAAAAAAGACTGGTATTATAAAGAGGAGTATCCCTTAGCCATAGAAAATGAAAAAGTTATGTAGGTGTGAAGAAACAGAACTGGGATAGAGTGTTTAACTGTCAGCTTGAAATACTAAACAGCACTGGGGTACTTTCCGTACAGATTTACTGCATCTCAGTAACAGATCACATTGTTCTGAAGTATCACTTCTGTGAGCGGAAATTATCACCACCAAGAACAACCCAGGTTCTGTAAAAACATCGAGCTACAACAGATATTATATGTGAAATAAAACTCAAGGTCACACTGTAAACACACATTAGTGCGCCACATATACTCCACGTTTGCTGCCCACCTACTGGTTTTCTTATGTTTATACATTCTGATTTAAATGCCACACTAATGACTCTGTAGTCATAGAAATACTCAACAGGCCAGTCCATTTTAATTACAATTACAGATTAGAGTCTAATTCCTAGTCTTTCCTTTCACATCCTTTTATTCCCATGCCAAAGAAAATATGTAGTGAGGCATTTATGTTGGTATATACTATCCTCCAGATTATATATCTAGCCTAATAAATTCATTAACAAGACAAGTAGTACAAATGTTGGCTCTGCATCTCTTCCACTAAAGCTCATTATTTCCTTTTCTTCCTTACTTAATTTGTCTGTGTTGGAATGCATTCAGCATTTTTGCTGTTTTCAGACACTAATAAAATGGTGGGCTGGACATGTACACCAGTGCTGACAGCCAGGAGCAGTACTATTGTCCTGCTTATGCATCCTTCCTGAATGGGAAAACTAGGTCAGCTGATAGTCCAGATTCTCCATGTGACCAGAACAGGGCAGGGTGGGTGGAAGAAGGCCAGCATAGTGCTTCTTCAGCAGAAAAATACTGAAGAAACCAATATGTGCAAATGTATGTGTACTTCAAATTTGTGAAATAACTTACAAGGGGACTCTCTCAGAAGTGAGGAAAAGAATGAAGAGGGAAAAAGAAAAAGGAAATCTAAGCTTTACTAAGGAAAATAAAACCAAACCAACAAAGAAAGAAAACCAAAAAAAAAAACAAACAAACAAAAAAACCACAAACAAACAAACCATGCGAGAGCAGGTAAGTGCCATAATCTAAGTTTCAGCCAAAATAAAACTTTTTGTTTTGCCATAAACTAGGTTCAGCCACCTTCCTCACACAAAGTTTGTGTATCACGCCTTGGGTCCAGCAATAGCAGACCCACTCATGTAAAGAGCAGTGATGCTGAGAATTTTACATACCCCTGTAGTCTAATCACTTAACTGTGATCTAGGCATCAGTATGGCAACACTGCTGAATGCAAAGCCAAAAAACAGAGAGAAAACTATTCAAAAGTTAAGACACTTATATTTTGACTGCTCTTTTCTTTGGAAACAATGGAAAATATTCCTCCTTCCATAGAGATCTGCAAGAGTCTCAGGAAACCCAGCTCAAATTCAGTGTTGATCCTGCTGTGAGCAAGAGGCTGGACTAGAGGATCTTCCAGCCTCACCAATCCAACAACTGCTTTTTGTGAACTGCCTTTCTACAACCTTGAATAGCCTTCAAAGCTGCTTTCAGAACAGCAGAAACATCTCGAATTCATTGCAAAATCAGCATTTCATAAAGCTGTAGCTATGCCTGTACAGCGCCCACTTCCTCATCCAGCAAACACGGAGGCAGTGGCTGATGCTGCCTCACACCGCGCCACATCCGCCTCCGCTTCTCCACCACCTTGGAACGATGAGGTGCCTTCTTCCAAACCAGTTAAATGACAGGCATCATTCAACCCAATTCAATTAAAATAGCACAAAGCTGCATGTTGATTAAAATTACACATTTCAATGAAGTTTAATGTGCTGGTGGATTATTTTTATAACTCTATGGCAGATCAAAAAACTACAATTAAACCCAAATGGGTATATGTGTACATACATACATAAGCCAGTTTAAATAAATACAAAATTTCAAATATATCATTAAGCATTAAGCATTAATTTATAGAAGGCTGTAGCTTGGCCCTCTTGGATCCTAACATTCTCTTTTATTAACATTTTTACCACGTGAGGACTCTATTTTATATGCAAGCACTAATACATGAATCTGTAAATACTATCAATATTTAATTTTCTACAAAGTATTTATAAATTACATCAAGTCAGGACAGTCTTGAGTAGACAGGGCATGTCACTGAAGTATGCAGTTTTAACACAGATGTTAAAAATAATCCCCATTTATTTCAGAAACAGTACATTTAAGAAATACTTGACCTGTGCAGCCACAGACTCCATAAATAGTTTTGTGGATAATAAATTATCCACAAAATAAGTGAATACTAAATAATTAGTATTTTGCAACCAAACCCACAACACCCACAGGTTTCAAAGTGCTTAGCAAGACAATAGAAGATTATGGTTCCCAGTCTACAATGGGAACGGCTGAAACAGAAAACTCAGGTGGCTTGTCTGAGATCTTACTGAACATCAGCGTCACAAATGCGGAAAAATGCCTGAGAATCCTGACTATCAAGCCAGTCTTGAGCCATAAATGACTTCACTGTGACTAAATTTATAAACAAAATCTGAGACCAAAAAGCAGCTTGGTTCTTTCAGCTCAAATAAGGAACAAAGATTTCTCATTGATATGAGAAATGGTCATTACTACAGCAATCTGTAGATTAGTAAGACCAGATACAGATATCCCAAAGACACTCATGGGGAAAGATCCCTTAATAAAGGCTACAAAGAAGACAGTGGCATGGAGAAAGCTAAACCGCGGGATCCACTGGAACCACCAAAACTGAACTTGTGGCAGGGCAGCACTCCAGAAAAACCCCCAAAATGCCAGTGGCATTTCTGAGTTGCAGGAGTTTCTGCAGAGACCCCTGCACTTGCAAACACTTCCCTCATGCTGGAGTGTGGGAAGCCCAGCTGCGAGAAGGCTCCTGAGCCACTTCACTCCTAGGAGGCCTGGCAGGGCCATGGCAGGCAGGGACTGGAGAACTCTTGCTCCACAGCTGAACCAGGGCCCATTAAGGCACCTGTTGGCCTGGGATCATGATAGTGCACACCCATGGGACTTGCACAGAAACACACTTCATTTCTGTAATATGGCTATTCTTATGATTACTGCTCAACTTTGTGTGTGCAACACTTCAACAAAGCACCACACTGCTGAACACCAACTGAAAATAGCTCTGTGTGTAGCGATACTGTCTCGAGAGCACTGGGATTTCACAAACAGATATTCCTACAGGCAGAGTAGAAATGAAGGTTGACCTCTTTTGGCATGAACATCTTCCCCTAGTGGCTGCAGAGACTGCCCTTAGGGCATGCATTTATTCTGCCTTTGGAGAGCACACAACTGTATGCACTCAACAGTGCACAACTGTTTCAACCAACTTTCACTGTCTGTGAAACCAACAGTGCTGGCACAGCTTCTGATCACATGCTTTGTAGAAGGAAAAGCAACACCCAGGTTAGCTGGGAGAAGAGAACAATGGTACACACACAGTGCAGTATATAGGGATCTTCTTTCCCTTATATCATCCAGTCATATTCACATTGCAAAGATCTATGCAGCTCCCACAGATGAGAAGTGTGGAACTTCAGGTGAGGTCACATGGCTCATTTGGTGTTCAGGCTGATCTCATGTTTTTTTCTGTGAGATGGGCACTTGCAGTATTCCTGAGGTAGCAGATACAGAGGTCTTCCCTTTATTCCTTTAATAAAAGCAAAAGTGAAGGAAAACAGGACAGGCAGACAGAAGTGCTGAAGTTTCTTATGAAAGATACAAAAACACTTGAAGTAAAATACATTTCTAAAATACTCCACTGGGACAGAGAGCACAAGAGCTTCCAAAAGCAAACTTCACCATCTCAGAATCACCTGAAGACAATTACAGGTTTAATGTGGCAAAACAGTTAATCAGTGAGAAATTACATAAATAAACAGCCAGCCACTAGCTCTGCAGGGCCTTGGACGTTACATGGAATGGACATTTTCCTCACTGCCATCCTGCAGCAGGTCAAGGCAGCAGAACTGCAGGTGCTGTGCACACAGCAGGGACGGCAGAGAACACAGCACTGCTATGTCAAGGCATTTGTAGAACTTAAGTGCAGAAAGTGCTCATCAGAGGACAAATGTACCCACTCCTTCTGTTGCTCTGCAACCTTTTCTGCCAAGCATTTTACCAAGACAGGATCTACTTTGGAGTCAATCTTGTTGGCGAACCAGTGTCCATAATTCAGAAGCCATCTTAATTCTCCAGCCCCATAGATGCAGACACTGCGAAGGTGGGTACCAGTGCATGGAGGATACAAATAGTCTTCAAGATAATTCCATTTCACCAGACGAGTTTTGCTTTGTAAGTCTGTTACATCTTGGGATGACCTTGGAACTTCCCCAGGGACCCCGGGGACACGAACAAGAGTGGCCCAGAAATGTTCATCTGGAGAGTATGTGTCCCTTGACCACTCAAAAAAATCTTTTGCAAGTGAGCTTTCAAGGGTATATTGAATAAATTCTCGGCTTAAAACAAAATAGGCACTGCCTACAAATATCTCAATATCATGAGGTGGCGGATTCTTGGAAATGTTGGTTTTTACAGGCATCTGCATGTATTCATAAGGCACTTTCATAAGCTCATAGTGATAAGTAAATCGTTCTCTTTTGCTACTGCTTGGCTTTGAAGTTTCCAGCATGTTTCCTCCACCAAGTTTCTTCAGTTCAGCAACCAACTCAAAATTTGATCTCAAAGGGAAATCTTGGCCACACAAATTGATAGCATACTTCCAAGGAACTGGAGAGTCCATCAAATCAGACAAACAATTGAAATCTGCTTGCAGACGTGAAATATGTGCGTAGTCCACTGTCTCCAATTTTGATGCAATGAAAATATTTGGAAAACATTTAGCTAGATTGTTCAAAGCAGATTTGAAACTTTTTGCTGCTTTTTGATCATAATGGATGCAGTAAATATTCTGACGACTGTACAATGAATGTATGAGCCTTTCTACCATTGCTGCATCTTTGTGAACAACCAAAGAATAGGCAATTGGAAAACTCTCCTCCTCTGCAGAAACAGGTTTTAACTGGTATTTCCTAAGTGAACGATATACATGACAGTCACTTGTCATTGCTACAACATCTTCATCAGCTAAATCAACTATTTCTTTTCTTCTTATCTCTAAACTCTTCCCAATTTCATGAGGATCTTGTTCATATATAGATGAACAATTAATTTCATACTGGAACTCATTTCTAGGGTATGAATATCTGTTTCTAACATAAGAAGAAGTGCTCAAGAAGTGCTCAACTAAGTAAATGCCTTTAGAGGGAAAAAAGTGTCTTTCGACATGGAGGAGCTTCAGCAGTGCAATCAGCCACCCAGTAACACACAGAATCAAGATCTTCCTTCGTGAGGGACATTTGTAGGACCACTTGTGTCTCTTCATTCTGCAAGAAAAAAAAGACATAGTCTTACTTTAAATCTGAAATCACCTCTGAAATCATCAGAGATCATTCCAGCCTCAAAGACAGATATGTGCAGACCAGTCTGCCTACAGCATAAATGCCACCTTATTAGGAAGGTCACTGGTAATCTCTAGTTTCTTCTTAATCGTAACTTTAAAATTTCATTTCCCCGAATTAGCTAAGTGAAGGCAATAAACCAGATGATTTCCAGTCAAATAAGAGTATCAGAACAGGACTCCCACAGTTTTTTTTCCAGACATTTTTAAAACCTCTAATGAGCCACAAACTGAAGTACAGCAAACCCTGGATTGGCAAAGACATTACTGTCATTCATGTGAGTAGAAAGGATTGTTTGTTTTCCTGAGTAACTACAAGGCATTCAACAGGAGCAGCACAGGGATGTCTTGGAAGTCTGCAAAGAATGTGTGCCTAACAGTAGATATTAGTATTGTTTTTTAAAAAGCATGAAACTGAAAGCTTTAGAATTCAAACACCGCATTCTCATTATCACAAACACTGGAGCTGGCTCATGAAGATGTTCAAGGGAAAATTCATTTCCTTCCTGTCCTGTGCCGACAAGATCTTATAAGCCCAAAGTCTCCTTTCTCTCTTCAGATTCCTTCTGGAAAATACTTGTAACTTGCCCTGAAGACAGAGGTGGATAAAGACATAGCACTTTCATCCACTGCTATGAATGTATAAAGAAGGTACCCTTCTGAAGGCAAAAGGGGTGGCAGTAGTAAGCAATAGCGCATCCATCCTGTTCTCTGCCATGTGATGCAACCTCGGATGTGACCACAAAAACACGTGGCCCCTTTTTATACCACATGTTATTTAATAAAATTCCTGTGTAGCACATTAACAACTGAGGTATTACCACAATAAAAGCTAAATACAGAGATCCTCTTCCACATAGCTTTGCTTTACTGGCTGAGTGTAATCAGCATTGTTACTATCCCCGAATTAAAATTAGACCAGAACCACATAACAAGTGCAGCAGTAAACTTAGCTCTACTTAGCTTAAAATAAACTCTACTTTGTTTTTAAATTGAACAGCTCCCAGTATTTTCTTTTGAATAGAAGTTATTTCAGGGTGCTTCCAGAGCCAATGAAATGGTGGGGCCAGCAGATGTGGCTCAGATGCCTGGACATCTCACATATGTATGAGAATGAAGTACTGAGATGTGCATTCAAATATATTGCAAGACTAACTTGGGTATCTTTAGCATTCCCTTTGATGTCAGGTCTTGCAAGCTGTAGCTACATTCAAATTGCAGCTTGTCAAAGCAGAGCTTTTTCATTTGTCTGTTCTCCCTTGACTTTGCCTTTTCCTGTGCATCTTTGTCCCAAGTATTTTTATCCTAGGGCAACAGAAAGAAGGAAATGTTATCTCCTGGGCACTGCCAGATACAGACCAGGGTCAGCCAACACATACCTATTTCGTAGAACAGCAACTCTCTGCAGGTTTTAGAAACAGTCTCCAGGTATGCTAACAAAGAAAGAGAAAAAACAGATCTCATAGAATCATTTAATAGTTTGAGTTGGAAGGGACCTTAAAGATAATCTCTTTCCAAAATCCCTGCCATGAGCAGGGAACCTTCCCCTAGGCCTTGAATAATTCCAGGGATGGGGAATCCACAACTTCTCTGGGCAACCTGTTGCAGTGCCTCATCATCCTCAAAATGAAGTGAGACATTCATATCCCTATGAAGCCAAAAATCCCACGTTCCCCACAGCAAGCAGGTGCTTTCCTTCATGTCTTCTTCAAATTAATCCCAGCCCAATGTCTAATCTAGGTTTCCCCTTTACCTATTTCCTTTATGTATCCGTGTTCCTGGAAAAAAAATCACTTTTAAAAACTGCTCATAACCAAAGGCAGGTTTTCAGTCATATGAAAAAAAGCCTTCTAGAGGGGAAAACAAGTAACCTGTCCTGGCTTTTTATTTTGGAGGGAGAAGAGCTATGTGGTGTTGCCTTTCTGTGAAGCCCACCCCACGCCTCTGCCCAGTGTCTCCCTGGCTACCAAGGACAACACCTACCACCCCTGCCTGAACAGGGATTGCCTAAATCAAGGAGTGAATCATCTCTTACTTTCTCCTTCAAAAAGGCGAGTCTGGACAAACAAAAAGAAGGGGGAAAACCCAACACATTCCAAACTTCTCCCTAACTTCTCTATCTGTGTCAGCCCTGGCCAGCTTCTGCCCAGTGCCAAACATTCTGTTGCTATGAAACCAAAGCCATAGAATCTTAGAATGTCCTGAGTTGGAAGGGTCCCACAAGAATCAGTGAACTACAACTCCTGGCTCAGCACAGGATACCCCAAGAGTCACATCATGTGCCTGAGAGTATTGTCCATCTCTGGACCACGACAATACTCAACTGTGTCAGGCTGGTGCTCTGTGACCCCTTCCCTGGGGGGCTTCAGCCACACTCTGGGTGAAGACCCTTTTCCTTATACTTAACTTAAACCTCCCCCAACAAAACTTCAGACTGCTCCCTCGGGTCCTGCCATTGTTCACCACAGAGAAGAAATCAGTGCCTGCTTTCCCTCACAAGGAAGCTGTAGGTCACTGGGAGACTTCCCCTCAGTCTCCTCTGGGCTGAACACACCAGGTGACCTCAGCTGCTCCTCATACGGCTTCCTCTCCATATCGTTCACCATCCTTGTGACCCTCCTCTTCTCCAATAGTTTTGTATCTCTCTTACACTGTGGCACCCAGAGCTGCCCCCAGCACTCGAGGTGAGGCTGCCCCAGGACACGGCCGGCTCTCCTGGCTGCTGACCATGTTCAACTTGCCATCAACCAGGACCCACTGGTCTACTTCCACAGGGCTGGTCTCCCAACCTTGCGCATCCTGGTCTGTCCATACCTCCAGGCTTGCCCTGTCCTGGTGCAGAATCCAGCACCCGTTTTTGTTAAACTTCATATGATTGGTGATTGCCCAGCTTTCTAATTAGCTGAGATCTCTCTGCAGGGCCTGTCTGTCTTCAACTGCTCCTCCCACTTTAGTGTCCCAGTTTATATCTTTGAATTTATCTTGAGTTCTGTATCCAAGTCATTAGTGAAGATGTTGAGGAGCGCTGGCCCTAAGGTGGAGCCCTGTGGAACTGCATTGGTGACAGGTCACCAGCCTGATGCCACCCCACCGTAACCCTTTGTGTCTGACCTGTCAGCCAGCTGTTCACCTACTGCCTGACATACCCAGAAGGATCCTGCGAGAGACAGTGTCAGAAGCTTTACTGAAATCAAAAAAGATCACATCATCATCATCAAGGTGAGCTACCTTGTCATAAAAGTCAAGCAGGACCCTCCCCTCGTGAAGCCCTGCTGGCTATGACCAATGACCACATTTTCTTTCAGGTGTTTTTCAATAACTCCCAGAATAATCTTCTCCATAATTTAACCAGGCACTGGAATGAGACTGACAATACTGTAGTTATCAGGGTCATCTGTCTTGCCATGAAGGAATTCTTCCTTATATCCAACCTGAACCTTCCCTGGTGTATCTTAAGGCCATTTCTTATCCTGTTGCTCATTGCCTGGGAGAAGAGGCTGACCCCCATCTTGCTAAAACCTTCTTTCAGGTAGTTGTAGACAGCAGTAAGGCCTCCCCTGAGCCTCCTCTTCTCCAGGTTAAAAAACTCCAGCTCCCTCAGTCACTCCTCATATGACTAACTTTCTAGACCCTTCATCACCTTTGCTTCCCTTCTAAATAATTTATGAGTATAAAGTCAATTTCAGCAAAAACTAGGATTCTTGATGAACAGTGGGAGAGACTGGGGGACTAAATCTCTTGGGATAGAAGGGCCATCACAACCTCATCAGGTTTTGACTCATCTGAAAAACTTTATATTTTACCAATGCAGACTCAAAGCCCTCCTCAGACATAGAGCTGTACTGTACACACCATCCTCTCCAGAGGAGCACAGAATGAATGAACATGGCAGATGAGAACAGCAACTATTGCTGTCCAAAGCACATATCTTGGGTAGCACTGACCAGATGCTAACGCTGGTTATCCTGACCACAAAACTTTTTCCTTAGGTGATGCCACACAATACACATGCAAAGTTCCATCTTTTGTATCAAGATTTTATATTATGAGCTTGGCATTGACATCTTGCTTTGTTCTGTAAAATGTGTTACTTGTCTTTTCTACATGTGAGAAGATTCATGAGGTACATTTGCTTGTTCCAGGACTTGAGGAGGGCAGGAACCCCAGGTCTTCACCCAGCATAAGACTTCTATCCAGAGCCTCCCCAGCTTACACAGCCCTTTCATGAACCTGGGCCTCCCAGGGAAATCCTCTTCCCCTGCCTTTGCACCATCCTGTTAAGAAACCTCACAGATTTTACCCTCTCCATGTTGGCAAAAAACAAACACATGCACTTGTATCTGATTAATAGATCCATTATCAGTTTATTATGTAGAAAAAAAATCTGCATTTCCCTTACCACTAGCACTGTAATGCAAAAAAACCCCAACATTTATTACAGTTGAGGAATTGTCTCTCCCTTCACAACTGCTCCTCACATTCAGAGAAGAAGGATAAAGGTAAAGCATCCATCCCTCAAGACCAACTACAGTTCAGCCTCACAAAGATCATGACCTCAACTGCAAAGACTACTGTGTCAAATGTTTCTGAATTCATAAAGCCATGCCCACTGCTCAGGATTCAATCCCAAAATGAAAATGGGTGAAGTTGTCAGGAAAGGGAGGAAATCCTCTCCCCAGGTCCTCAGGCTTCTCATGGGAGGACTCTGACTTCAGGAGTGTGGTGGCTGGGAAGCGACCCAGCTAAAAGCTTCCGGTCATGAACCTCAGGTATTCATTGCAACTCTTCTGATTGATAGGAAGGCTCTATGTGTGTCTTCTGTGATACTGAAGTTTAAAAATGTTAGTCAAGGGTAAGGTGTGCTGCTAACATCAGATGCAACCAGGTTGGAAAACTCTGAACATGCTGCTTTCTGAACCATGTAAACAACTGAACAACTTTGCATTTCACTGGCACCCCCAAAACACATGCACATTGCCTCAAGTCAATCTATGTCTTACAAACTCAATAGAAATATTTTCTGTTTGAGTGTTTTCTGTTTGAACCGAACTGAGTTCTAAAAGAAATTCAGTTTTGAATGGGAACAAAGTATTACAGAGGGCAACAATCCACCTTTTGGCTTCTTTTACAAATTAGGGTATTTTCATCAAAATTAGGATAAATTAGAACAATGTTTGCTTCTTCATTTGTATCTTTTAATAACTAAAAAAAAATGCTCTTTTCTGTAAAAAACTATAAAAGCATCAGTGGGACTTCTGGCCTCCAAGGCAGACCCTAAGAGGGAGTGATGATCTGCCTACCTGAAAAACTATTCTGCTGTTTCACCTGAGTGCTCTGCAACTTTTTCTGCATTCTGATCTAAATACTCTGGCTAAGGCCACTGTGCACTATCACATATCAGTTATCAAGGTTACTGCAAAATTTAAGCTTCTGATTCCTATATTATTTAGTTTTTATTATTAATAGTTCCATAACATTGAATATCTAAGATGCTGTAGAAACAATACCAACCAGTGCAGGCAAGGTTTAAATTGGTTTTGAGTATGCCCACCAGAATTTTCTCTGTATTTACCGAATCAGTGAAAAGTGAACCTTATTAACTTTGCATCTCCTCAGTGCTATGCAAAGAAATTCTTGTGGGCCCGCTGGGGAACTGCATATCTAGGTAGCATTGGATACCTCATATCAGTCCAGCATCTTTTCCCTGGAGGGAAGCAGACCATACATACAGAAAGGGGAGAGAAGCCTTATCCTCCTCCTTGTAAACACACAGGGGAAAAAAAATGCTGTTATTTTTAACTGGAAGAACACAGCAGTACATTATGAGATGTGGTGGTCGAAACTGAAGAACCACCTGTGAGTACCATATTCATTGGGAATAACATTTTTCACAAAACATAGGTCCATTTCTTCAGGGTAAAACCATGCTTAAACTATCACTCCTACTGAGAAACTGTATGCCATCATATGTTGCTTCATAGAATTATAGAAACATGGAAATACATGGCTTGGAAGGGGACTTTTAAATGTCATCTACTCCAACTCCCCCACCATGGATAGGAACATTTCCACTAGGCTGCTGGAGGTTGTCACATAACATCTAGTCATACTTAAATGTTAGGAAGCAGAACTTAATGTGGTAAAACTACCCAGACTACTTCTAGATCTGGCCTTGAAAAAAATGAGAAGACAACCTGTTCTGCATCCTAGCTGCTCTACTATGCACATGAGACACACCTTGCCTGAACTAAGCATCTGATGCACACTGCAGCTGGTGGAAAGATACCAGGAACTGCAAAGGATCAACAATTCATCCCAAAACATGAACTGTGAGATGGGCAGGATGAAACGTCCCTGGAGAAGTCATGGTCACAACAAACAGAAGCAAGGAAAAAGCCCAGCTTTTGCACCACAACTGCCAGCTCTGCCAACCCTGCTTGCAATGGCACAGCCTTGTTGCACATTGAATGTGAGGAATTCCAGGGGTAGCAGTATCGCACACAACCCTGATCCTCTGCCAGGAATACCCCAGCAGCTCCTCCATCCCAGAGTGGTACTCAGATGCAACAGAGAAAAGCCAGGAAGCTTCTCTAGCCAGCACAAGTCTGAGTTCACTCAGAGAACCAAGATCCTGCTCTGGCTGACCTCCAATGGCTCATATACACCAGCGCTACAGCAGCTTCTTTGAGGACACTCCTCTGCAAATGTTTAAGGAGGTTTTTGAGAGCTCAGAGGAATGGACAGGTTCCCTTCACCAGCACAAAGAAACCAGCAGGCTTTGGGCTCACACTGTGTCTCTGAAGACGAGTTTTCACTTTAGTAAGACTCTAATAATATTATGGAGACCTGGTTCCTGTGAGAGACCAGAACATTACTGCTGCTCCTCACACTGTTTTGTTTTTTTTGCTTTTTTCACAACCTCAATGTACCCAGACTCCCAGTCTGTGCAACTTTGTGATGCCAACATCATTCTTGCAGCGAAGTCTACAGCTCCCTTCACCCTGAGCAGGAATAAATTACCAACTGTCATATTCCTCTTGCTCGGGATGGCAGGTCTCACCTGCTGTCCACACAGGGTAGAGGTGTTCCCAGTTTGTCCAGTTTGTATTCAGAGCACATTGAATTAGCAGCTTCTGAACTACCTTGTTTGAGAAAATACAGAATTTTTCAACTCCCCAGCATTCCACTCCCTTTCCTCATTGTCTTTTCTGATACAGACTGTGCTGCATTAAACTCAAGTGCTTCAGTGATTCAAAGTAGAAGCTTCCAGGTGAATCTACAATGATCACAAGCTCCCTGGATGTTGCTTGCTGTTTGGAGCCATTATGAATCATCCAGGTCTATCACAGGAAGCACAGAGCCTGGTGGAGCTAAGATATCAGATGTACCTCCAGGTAGAAGGATAAAACTCCTGCTTTGAAGGTTGGGTTTTGTTCAGGAAAAAAGAAGGGATCTCTGCTCAAAGAGAGCTGACACCACGAAGAGGGAAAGGTATCCCTTTGGTGTTGGAAGCAACTGGCTCAGCAGCAGGCATGCAGGCAGGGCTACCTGAGGAAGTCCTGTTACCTGTCTGCCTGTAATAACCAATGCATCACAACTTTCCTGAGGAAAACAAGGTATGTATCAATGTCCACCAGTCCCTGCCCTCTGCCAGTCCTTCTTGAAGGACCTGCTCAGTAGGCAAGTAAAAAGCCAATCTCAACTCCCAGCTACAATGAGCTACAGAAAACAAAAGCCAGGATTTCTCCTAATGCACAGCATTATCACATTTACAATACTTCTTTTCTACTTAAGCAATACCAATCAAAGAGGTCTGTGACTTTCCACAGATGACACAAATTACTTCTGGTGCCATGCAAGACAGCCAGCTTGTGGGAATCACCTCTTGTCTTTCGTCACGTCTGCTTGGGACTGGTTTACCCAGAGCACAGGCTGACAAGACATGTTGACTGCTACTAGAATAGGGATTCTTGCAAACCTCAGGCTGCGAGCAGGCAATGCTCTCTCTCTCCTCAGTGGATCTGAAATACATGGTGCTTGCTATGAAAGCATTGTGAGGCAGCCTGCTTCTCTGCTTGCCACAGAGCAAGAGTTAAGTGAAAAGGTCAAGATTGAGTGCAAGTCTGTGGAAGGAGATGAAAGAATAGTTGTAGGGGAACAGGAGTGCTTTTACCCCAACATGTGATTCTTTCTTGCATGAAGAAACCCTTCTGCATATGTACAGCATGAATCAAACTCCCTGCTGTCACCTAGGTTAAAAAAACAAATAAAGTGAATGGGTGCTGAGAAGAGCAGGAGCAGCAAACAGAGGTTGGGAAATTACAAAAAAGAACAGAGAGGGATTGAAAAGGGTAAGTACTTTCATGTAGGTAGCATTATCAATAGCAACAACAAAAGTCAGAGTAGCAGAACAAGTGATTTCTCTAACCTGTTACACCACCATCACTCAAAGGCATCTGAAGCAAAACCAGTGTCTACACCTTTTCTTGGAAACCAGGTCACAGCGTATTTCAGCAGCCAACACCATTACTACATAAAGCAGGAACTGAAAGATGGAACAATTACCTCTCCTGGAAGTAAAAACACTTCAGGAAAGTTCCACCTGATAAAACACCTCTGTTTGTTTAAAACACACCTGCTCACACAGCAATGCAAACTTGGTGGTTTGCATGACCAACCCTGTGCAAAAATTTAGTTAGCTCCTCCTGGTTTTCGCTGTGATCTATACAAATCAAGTCTGGGCCTTGATAGGTCTACGGGAAAGACAGAGGGGATGATGTTCCTGGGAAAGTAGGGAAGAGGAAAAGTAATTGTGTGCTTTCCTAAGCTATTTATTTTAATTTTTTGTAAAGTATCTGTCTGAATTAAACTTTTAACACTACTTAACTATTCAATGCTGCTAACTGGAAAAGTTAATTTATTAATGTGTTCTTTTTTTACTGCTGTTAGCCAGTTATTTCCATTGCAAAATTATCTATTGATAGGGATAATGGGATTTATGTAGGAGTACATTTTATTGTCATTAAATCTCAATCAGTTGATTCTATCAAGTTTGTCTGAGTTTCCACCCACTTGCTCTGCACTGGAGCCTCAGCCTGTGCCCCTCCAACACAGTTACACTTAGCACCAGCCTCATTCTGCACATCTCACCCCCTTGTTTTGGCTTGCCTGACTAAGTTAGATTACTTACTTTTCACTACATTTTCTCTGAATGATGGACAACTAAAGAGCTAAGTAACTTTAATTACTTAAACACTTAATTGAAAGACGTGGAAAAATATGTCATTACTTTTAGAAGTAATTAGATTATAAACCCGCCAGTTTTAAGACTGTGAAGACTTAAACCAGCAGAGTGTCCCAATGAAAAACAGTAAGAAATGACTACAGTTTAGCACAGTGTGGTTTTTGCTTCTGGAAGCAGAAAGACAGGTTTTTGCCACATACCTAGGAAACACAGCAAAGATTTGGCAGTTAAGGATATCACACACGACTTTGTCCCAGTACTAATCACGAGGACTGTTTCTTGCACAGATCTGTATTTCCTAGCAGAACTTCCTGTGCAGACAGTAAGTTGCTTTGCTTGTCTGTTTGCCACTCAGTTCCAGCTCTCTGTATGCACTTTAGAAAAGGCTGGATTCTCCTTTCCGGTTGCCTCCAGTGGCAATCCTCACAGTTTCAGGAAAACATCTTACATCAATTTCAGCACGTTCACATCCCAGAGATCTGTCAGGGTAAAGAAAGTCAATGTCTCAGCTCTTTAGACAGGAAAAGAGGCAAGCAATTTCTGCAGGGTCATGCAAGCAGCACAAGAGAGAAGGTAATTCCTCTACAACCCAAACTAATCTGGACTGCTTGAAACTTTACAGAAACTTTTCATGAAAGCTCTTTTGCTGAAGACCTGAAAAGTCTCTCAGCAAATCCCTTGGTACATCCCATACTACTGTGTCATGCCAGTCAGAGGATTTGCAGCCCTCTTAAAGCAAGAAAGTGTTAAGAAGACACAGAGATAGTCAGTCATCAAAATTCCCAAGCCTGATGCTTATACATTGAAAATTTCAATTTTCTGACTTTGTGACATGGGGTATCCGTGCTTGCCAAGCACATAGTGTACTATAAACACAGGAGTCAAGAAAACAAATAAACAAAATCCCACTAACAAATACATACTCCAACAAATAGAGTTTAGTCCCTTCTAATTTGTGGCAATCTAGCATTTAACAGCTTTTTTCCACCTCATATGGGAGTTTAAAGCACCAGTAGTACAGTGGAGAGAGGGTTAACCTTTAAACTATAGAATAACATAAAAATTAGACCCAAAGGGACAGAATTTGTGTTCATTGGCAAAGAGAAGCACTGTAAAAGAGGGTGGAAATTTCCTGTTAGACAGGGAAGCAGGAGAAACTGCACAGCACTGCAGAAAAGCTCCCATTAACAGCTCAAAATATTTCTCCATTTTCTTCACCCCACCACCAAGCTGCCTGCAGACTCTAGTCTGCAAACCACCATTGTAAATCACCCTCTTTAAGTCATTTCCCACCCCGCAAAGTCACACCTTGTCACATCAGTAAGATCACATCAAAGAGAGCTGCAGACCTACCTCCTGGACTTTGCTGTGTTCTCTTCCCCTCTTTAGGATGCTCTGTCCCAGGAGATCAATATGTGTACAGCCAGCTCGGTGGGCAAACCAAGTCCTAGTGTCTGCTCCATCCTGCCACTGCCCACAGCCTCCACCAGTGTCAGTGCTTCACGTGCATTTGAAGTCGGACATACAGAAGTAGTAGGGATGACATTATTTCTTGCACAAATTACAAAAGAAAATTGTAAAACGTTAGCTGAAAAACAGTGAACATGGAGACTTGGTAAGGTAAGTAACAGGGGTGGCTGTGGCTGCAGTTCTGAACTCATAAGCCTCTGCTTTTTTGCAGGTTAGTTGGGAAGGTTTTATTGTTATTAAGCTGAGGAAGGCATTATCTGTATTTTTGTTTACTCACATAGCATTTCTAAGCACCAAGAAGGCAGGGAGAAAGGAACACCATAAAAAGAACAGATCACATCAAAGCAACCTAATTTCCTTCTCCAGCAGAGTAAAGAGGACTTGGGGAGAGGGAGGAAAGCACTGGAACACAAGGAGTCTGTCAAAAGATTCACCAAGTTTAAGATGCAGTTAATACTTCAGGTACCAAGACTCCAGGCATCAGAAGCCTTGCTCTCTCCACAAATAAAATAGCTCTGACACTAAGCTAAGGCCAGAAGTTTGGGCTACTGTTATGAGACCACAGTCCTCATGATACTTCCTGAAATTCTCTTTAGATATGCTGACCTGCATTGCAAGTTCACCTATACATAAGTACTTTGTATGGTATATAAAGTTTCCATATAATAAAGAAAATAAATAAATAAATAAATTTCTGGGCTTTTATACCTAACTTTTCTGTGTGTGATGCTTACAAAGAAATTTGAGGAACTGAATACTGAACTATTTGTGTATACCACAAACAACTACCACGGTATTTTCCCTTAAGGAAAGCACTGCAGCAGTATTCCTAAGGCATATGTAGCATTGTCCTCCTCTCCATCCACATTTTGACCAAAATACACACACCAGCCTCCTCTTCATCACCAGTCTCCCAGATGATACAGAATTATAAACTGCACTTTTGTGACTGAACTAAGCTGAATGTCATAAGCCCCAAAGAGGGCTCTGGGTGTCACAGATTCAAGGGCTCCTGCAGTCCTGCCTTAGCTCATTGTCCCCAGCATTGCGAAATTATACACAAATAACAGTATCCAGATTCCTTAACATGGACTATTAATACTTAATATTGGCACTCTCTGTTTGTATAAGATGCAATGTGGCAAGACAGTAGCTGGGTCACTCTTTTCTGCATGATGGCAGGGCACTGTGGCCAATTATATAATGTGTTATAAATTGATTTTTAAAAAATTAAGAAAATGGGACATTTTCTGTGAGACAAAAGCTCCCAGCACATGCAAAACTGAAAAAGGTCTGCAGACAGCTATGCATCTTTTGTGTAAGATTTAGGATGCTGACTTCTCCCTGCCTGGAAATCAAGCATGCAGAAAGACCTCCCCCAGCAAACAACAATGCACCGCAAAAACACACACAGGCCAACTGCACTCCACAGTCAGTCCAGGAAAAGATCTCTGATTGGCACCAGGGAATCCTGCACAGGCCATATTCTAGCTACTTGATCCACCAGACAAGCCATGCAGCAGTGATAATACAACAGGGCCTGCTGCAGGAGGACGGGTGGATCTCTGACAGGCTGGTAACGACCTCATCACCTGCCTTTATCTGGGATGGTGCAATTAAAGACCTCCTCTTTCTTCACAGCTGTCTCTCTTGTACTAAAAGTAGAGTGATCTCTGCCTCGCACTTGGCCACACTGCAAACCCTGGTGAAGCCTTCTTCGAGTGTTTCAGGGAGACATCTGATGAGGCTTGACTTGTTGACAATTACGCAAAATGTACTCCCTTGCTGGATTCAGCACCCTGCTGTTTATGTTGCAGAAATGAGCTTTTTGTGACTCATCTGGTACATTTCTTAGTTCCTTTATCAATATTTCTTGGAAGACCTCAAAAGCTGGAGTCACCATATGACTCCTGATGACTCTGTAGCAGTAACTGCTATGTAAATGCTTTAAGCTTAATTCCTCTGAACTTACCTGGACTACTTATTTCAGACACAGTCTCCTGCCACTCAGCAAGGCACTTATAGGATGGTCACAGCCAGCCTGTTGACTGACTAGAATAATTTGCACATATTAGGCCATAAAATAGCATGCATTAGGCCATAAAATATGAACCACAAAACCTACAGAACCTGGTACACATGCAGTTTTCAGTGCATGAACCCCTTTCTTGGGGGTCTGAATACCCAGTGTAATAACACACAGAGGTGGTGCCAACCCAAGCAACTGAAACTTGAATGTAGTCCTTATCACCGTTACTGCTTTTCAGAAAGTTATAATCCTTAGGAATTACTAATTTATACTACACATATGTCAAAATGCATTAGCCAGGTTTGTTGGTAATCTTTAAATGCCTTTACAGCTGGGCAGCATACACAAAGATACACGAGAACTGGGCCAAAACCCACCACTATCAGATGCATAAAACCAGAAACCACAGTTGTACAAATATTGTAGCATTTCACTTCCCTTTCTATGACCATCTCAGAAAAGCTATATGCATGAAAGAACAATCACATCATATCCATGGAGCCCATCCAGCCCAAGATGTTGTCTCATAGTAGTCAAAAGCTGACGCTTGGAAACAGGAAAAAGAACAAATACTCTTTAACATCTCCACGTTTCCAGATCCATTTCCTTACAGCTTAGAATTTTTCAAAGACAGGTTACAAATGCCTGTTTCTTATGAAATATCGAATTCTTTCATCCAGTCATTTTTGGACCTACTTAAGCTTTCTGACTTGCAGAGACTAGGGAGTGTGGGGGTGCGGGGCAACATGCCACAACTCACTTGAGCATAGTGTAAAAACCCACTGTCTTGTACTCGTTTTCAATCTTCTGCCTCCCAGTGTCACTCGAATGTTGTAATTCCCTTGCTGAAAGAAGCAAGCCGCTCTTTCTTGTTAATCACCTCCACTTCAGTAGCAAGTTTATCTACCATCTCTACCCCTCAGCTGTTTCTCTCACAAGCGACCAAATGCAAAAGGATTACTACTAAGGAAATTTATTTATGCAAAAAGGCTACTATTAAGGAAACATGCCTATCTCAATATGAAACAGGTTGGATTAGATATTATACCCATATTAGATATGGATTAGATATTTGGAATGAGTCAGAGGATGTTCAGTAGAGTAGATCCTCAGGTGGGACACAGTGCAAGTCCCCCGTATGATCTTCTTTTTCTAAGCCTTACTCTGGCATTAGTAAATCTGTTCACTCAATAATAAGGGACAAAATGCTACTGTCTGTCTTCGAGGAAAAAAGAAGTTCTTACCGGTTCTTGCTATTGTTACTTTCTGTTTCTTTACAAGGAAAAAGAACATCTTTCCATATTAAAGAAATTACTAAGTGCACTTGGCAAATTTCAACACAGCTGCATGAACGTTGTGAACAATTTACTGGGAAACGAAAAAATGCCAACATCACAGCAACCCCGATTCCTCTTACCAAACCTTACTTTAAGTTGGTGTAACTGTTGATTCTGGAGAGAAGGTTACGAGGCTACGGCATCTGGGTGCACCGTCTGCCAGCCGGGCTGCGGGCAGGTGTGTGCGCCGGTTCCGGACATCCGTACCTTGTTACTGAGACGCAAAATCCCACCGTAGCCAACTTTTAAGACAAACAGCACCTTCTTACCGGAGCTCTCCCGCAGCACCGGCACCGACTCTCCTCCTCGTGCTCCGGCCGCCCCCAGCGCCGCGCCCGGCCCGGCCCCCTCTCCCCCGCGCAGCGCCGCCCCGCTGCGCTCCCGTGGAATCACACAGTGCCGCCCTTTCCTCCTTCTCCTCCCGAACTCCGCCGCCACGGCCGAGCATCCAAATTTGCGCCCACAGCGAAGCCGCCGGGAGGAGGGCGGGAGCTGCTGCCACCCCACGCGCCGCTCCACGAAGTTAGGGCTTGGCTTCGCGGGCCGGGACCTCTCGTTG